TGAACCCTGAGTAGTGGGTGGTTATTGGGCGCTCTAGTGTGGTTTACTCCTTCTTTCCTATAAAAAATCTTTCCTCCTTTTATTTGTACGTTGCTATATATAGTAACATATCTAATCTTCTGCGCTTATATGACCTTTTTATGTTACAAGTGCTGTAAAACTCTTACGAAACGAGCTTCAAGTTTAGAAAGCAACATGTCTCTGAAAGGGAACGTAAAAGGTACGCAGACTTCATCCGTTAAATTATAAAACAAACAGTCCCAAAGACTACTTTCGAATGCCTCTTGTCGATAGTGATTACAATGTAGTTTCAAATATTACATTTTCTGTGTGTCGCATGTCGGTTTGACATGACCCGTCCATCTCCCCACCCATTTGAGTCCAAAAGGTGTTATGATGGTAGTTTTGGCAATAGACGAAGGTACCATAAGAATTTGATGATAGCCTCCGTCCACATCAGTTTTGGAGAAAATGGTGCTTCCGTACAGATAATAAATGTTGACATCTTGTATATGAGTTAAGGGATACTGGTCATCCTTGGAAGCAGTGTTAAGGCGTCTCTAGTCCCAACAGGGTCGCCACTGCCCGTTTGACTTTGGAACCACATGCCTATACTGCGATCCAGCATTTCAAATACTTTTTAGAAGGACGGCCTTTTGTCTTTACTCAGATCACAAAACCTTTAACAGCAGCTCTCGGGAGCAAAACTGACCGTTTCACTTTAATAGCCAAAGACATCTTTCTTACATTGCTGAATTTACCACTGACATCCGGACCATCCGGGACAGGTTCAACGTGGTGACGGACACCCTTTCACGTTTCAATACGGACTCAATATGTGAGTCATCGTGATGAAATCAGGCGCTCGTCAAAATAATGAAATCCAAGATATCGGCTTTCTTTAACGTTTTTTTCTTTTAAGATTTGGCAATTTTTATGGAAGTCTTGTTTTTTTTTCGACTCAACACATTTTAACTCCATTTAAAAACACGTTTCTGGGTTGATTTTTCTGCAAAGCGTTGATTGAAGGCCACCAAAACGTACATTTTAACTTTCCTATGACTTTCAAACTTTGGAAGTTGTTAATTTACTTAAAATGCAAATGTCTCGACTTCTATTCAAACTAAATGGATATTCTTTTTATCAAAAGATCGACAAATGAACACGCTTTAATGTGATACCACACATTCCCAAATATTGACGAGCGCATGATTCCACAACGTTGAGACACACATATTAGAACGCTACATCACCTCTGTGGGTAATTTCAATCGCCTCTCTCAAGGCCACATTCAATCTGTCGTGATGAAAGCCTATAGCAAATCTTCCACTGGTCTTCAGCTTCAAAACGTTCAGCTTGGGGCATCGACACTGCTCTGAGATGGAGCACAGAGGCTAGTGTTAAGCTATTCCTGGGCTTGTCCAGTCTTTGGCAATATTCATGCTCTCTCATATGCACGTGCATGCATGTCCTACTCAACAAGCCATCAATCTATGTTTTGTATTGCACGGTATGAAACGGGACTGGAGCAAAGAATGTCATGCCTGCCAAACATCTAAAATGCATCGACACACAGGTGCACCACTAGCGGAACATTTTCCGCCAAACACCAGATTTTGCAACCTGTATGTGGACATTTTGGGCTTTGTCAATCAACCAGGACATACACTATCTTTTCACCATAATAGACAGTTTCACCATACGGCTAGACACCACCCCTTAACCAGATGCCCATGTGCTTCACCTCTCATCCATCTTTGGATTGTCCGGTTTGGGGTTCCGGAAGACATTATATCAGACCTTGGCAAGCAGTTCACTCTCAATTCTTTGGGCAGAGTGTTAGGCATTAAGACTCGTACAACTCAGCTTATCTCCCCCTGGCAATGGCATGATGGTACTTTTCCACTATCAGCTCAAAACAACACCCAAAGCACGTACCACTAGTCCTGATTGGCAAGCAGAATTATCCTCGGTTCTCTGGGGAATTCGCTCTTCTTGGTTAGTGGACCCCGATTGTTCTCCAGCTGAGTTTAGGTCTGACCCAACACTTCGTCTTCCTAATGAAATTTCATCAGCCGCTTGACGCAAGGACCGTTGAACAAGACTCATTTAAAAACAAATTCCAGTGTACCATGGACTCAGTGCATCCTCCAACACCAAAGTTCCACGGACAACGATCTGCCTACATACCCGCAAATTTGTCTTCAACAGGTTTGTCTTCGTCCGCACTGATTGCCATGGGTCTCCTCTTCAGCGACAGCACGAAGGCCCATATCACATCATTGATATTAGTGAGACGGTCTTCACACTAGACACCAAGAGTCACTGATCGATCAAAGGTGCTTTCGTGACCCCGTTCACATTGTCAATTGACAAGAGACTATATTGCCATACTAAGGTGTCATCGCCAACCTTTTCGAAATCGAAGACACTACCATTTTCTCTACTCGTCACAAATCTGAACATTTCGATCTATTGTAGTTGTCTATCATGTGGTCAGAACGATTGTCATACTATTTTAGTTCCAGGCAATTCGTGATGTACAAATGTGTACTACTCTAAGAGGATGTTAATGTAAAGACTTCGTTACATGTCACCTGCATACATTAACAGTTACAGAACAATAATATTTGTTTGACTGGATTACTACCCGTGTGGGTATATCAGGTGCTTGTAAATAACCTGTGGAAGAGTAAAACGTTTCTTACAATCAGTCAGCTCCATATCTCACTGTGAATCGGCGTTGGTTGGCGGGTGCTCTGTTGTGGTTTGCTCTTTCTTTCGTATTAAAAAAACTATGGTCTCTATCTCCCCTCCTTCTTCTCTTGTAACACCTCCAATCCTCGGCACCTACATGACATCATTGTGTTGCAGGTGCCCTAAAACTCTTACTACAACTAAAAGAACCGGCGTTAGCAATGTGTCTGTAAGACGCATCGTCGTCACTTACAGAAAGCGTGAGTTCGATTCCCGTGTATACGGAAATTGTTCTTCTCTAAATGTTCTCCTTTCACATTCTTTCCTGTTCTCTAACAATGTCCTATCATCTGCTTTCGTCTCCACTTTCTGCCCCCAGCCCTTCATCTTCTTTGCCCCCTCCTCTGAGCGACTGACTCTTTCTGCAACCTCTCTACTGCTACTCCTTGGCTGCTGTCTTTCAGTCACACCCCTGATCTTAGGGTAGGAAAAATCTACCCCTAGCCTTCTCGGACAAGGGCGAAAAATCTCGGAGGTCTCGTGTGCAAGTTGCACACTTTAAAGATCCCTTGGTGGTCCAAAATCGACAAGAGTAGGCTTCGGTAAAATTCAAAATGTTCTACCAACTGAGAATGTTTAAGGTGTCTCGCACGCTCATATGGCCTTATGCAGTTGCGAGCGTCGTAAAACACTTACCAAAAAGAAAAAAAAAAGAGTCCCGTGTTGGGAGGCCTTTTATCGAGTAGGTCCGTAGCGTGTGACGTCATATCCCCCTGAACCCGAGTTGCCCCCGCCTCCTGAATGACTGAAATCCTTATTTTATTTTTTCAATGGGGTACATAGATCTAAATGTGAGGTAGCGTGGTGGAATCAGGCTCTCGTCAAAATAATCAAAGTGTAGAAACTTGCATTTTTCCGGTGCTTTGTGAATTTTTATAAATTTGTTTTTTTGGACTCAACACCTTTCATGCCCACTAAAGAACTCATCCCTGTTTGGATTTTCTGAAAAACGTTGATTAAAGGCACAAAAAATGTAAACTTTCAGTTACCACGGACTCTTAAGCTAAGGAAATAACTAATCTTTGGCGGCCATTTTCTCACTAATTTTACCCCTGAAAACAGGTGAACCCCACTTCCTTCATTTGCAAATATTTCGACTTGTACATAAGATAAATGGATATTTTTTTCATCCAAATAAAGACCAGTGAACAAACTTTAAGACGATACCAATAACTCTACATGCCCCAAAATTGACGAGAGCCTGATTCCACCACGCTGCCTCACAAATGACTTTTACAAGTTAATTAAAACTAACACGTTTTCTTGTCGTGTTAATTCTGACCGCGTGTCGCACCAATACCGGCTGGATGTTTTTCTTGTTTGGATATTGGACACCTTGAATTTCTAGCTACAATTGTACCTGGCGTTGTTTTGTTTTGTTATGGAGTTATTTTTTCTTTTGTTTTGTTTTGGGGTTTTTTGGGGCCTCTTGTCAGGACAGTGACCACATTTGACCTGTCTTGTGCCTTCCTGTCTCTCTTTCTTCCTCTGTATTTCTCTCTCGATAGCTGTGATTGTGTGTCTTCTCTTCTCTTTTAAACCATCCCGTCTCTCTCTCTCTCTCTCTCTCTCTCTCTCTCTCTCTCTCTCTCTCTCTCTCTCTCTCTCTCTCTCTCTTTCTGTCATCCCTCATTCCTCCATCTTTCACTCTATCTGTCTGTCTGTCTGTTTGTCTGTCTATCTCTCTCTCTCTCTATCTCTCTATCTCTCTCCCTCTCTGTCTGTCTGTCTGTCTGTCTGTCTGTCTGTCTGTCTGTCTGTCTGTCTCTCTCTCTCTCTCTCTCTCTCTCTCTCTCTCTCTCTCTCTCTCACCCTCTATTTACCTCTATTGCTTTCTCAATCAGTCGATCATTCTACAGTATGCTGGTAGCTACTGTTGATGTACTTTTAATTTTGTAAGAGACAAAGGTAACACGAACGTTATGAAGCTGCCCCCACACACATGTTCACAAGGACATTCTAATATCTATGGATATCTATCTATTTATCTATCTATCTATTTATCTATCTATCTATCTATCTATCTATCTATCTATCTATCTATCTATCTATCTATCTATCTATCTATCTATCTATCTATCTATCTGTCTATCTATCTATCTATCTATCTATCTATCTATCTATCGCTTATATATACAAACCCTTATTTCTTCTTCTTTCCTAGCAAACATTTGTCATCCTTATTTCTACTCCTTTTTGTGTTCATTCCTTTCTTCTAGCAGCTCTATTCTTCAGCACTTAT